TATATTTGATTTTATTAAAAAGAAAAATTTAGTAATTCAATAAATCGTTTAGCGGAACAATATATCATACATCTCGATTACCAATTAATTTAAGCTGATAATAAACAGAGGAAAGAAGAAAAGAAAAACGGAAAAGATCCGGGAATATTGAATGCATTTAATTGCGATTCAAGCAATAGGAAACGTGCGACAATGAGAAAAGTAATTCACGGGTATAATATATATTCATGTATTCCCATCAAAGCGGAATTCGTAGCCTCGTGTGTGGATGTATGTACGTGTGCACGTACATAATAATCTGCACACATGCAGATTTATAAACGCATGTTCCGTAATTAATAGATACCTGACGTCTCGCAAATTCACATTCGCTTTAAACACAGAACGTTGCGCGGTATTAAAACTCATACCTCCGATTTACATACCGTTAGTTAATTCGTGCACTTTCTCATATATCTATACACGATAAATAATATTTTAATAAATATAAATAATTTCTACATTTCCCGTCTACTCTCTCTAAATACGCTGCCAGTGTTTGTAATTAAAAATATACGGCAACCGCGCGTGATATTAGCGATATTATTGATGCGCGATATTAACACTTTTATTTGTATGAATGATTAATATTCAAGCGCAACTGTAAATTGTGATATTATTTCATTTATTTCATTACAAATTCGAGATATAATTAATTAATAAGCTCAATTTGATGTGAAATTATTGCCATTTCGTAATTACAATAATAAATAATATAATATATAAATTATTATAAATATTTGCCACATTAGTTCGCGCTGAATGTGAAATATTTCGAAAAGAGTGTGGAATCTTTGAAAAAGAATACAAATGACATCAAATTGTGACCCACTTTGGAATGAGAAAGAACAAAGTATACGGAGCGACAGCCGTATAACGCGTGCCGTAAAATCAGTGATATCGTACGTGACCCCGAAACGATATCTCCTTATGCAAGATCGATTACGCCTTGTGCGGATAACGATGAAACGACATGAAAAGAACTCGGCGAGAGTCGCAAAATCAAATATCGGAGGAATTGGAAAAGCACAACTTGATCTTGAATATTCATAATCCGATCGTGCGGCCTCGGGGCGATCACTTCCGGAAATTCTGCTCCAAAAATATCAATAAGTTTCCGCTTCTGCACTTGCCGTTGAGATCGAATGACGTTAAATATCACGCCTTCGGGGTCGAAGTCTCGGCAAGCTCGAGGCGAATTCAAAGCGTACAAGCGTGAAACTCGTATCTCGGAAAAGAAACTTGACACCGCCTCGGTTTAGATTCGATTTCGACACGACTCATTGCCCCGCATTCAATCTTAACTCTCACAGAGGTTTCTACCAGCGATGCTTCCTCCCGCGACTTTTTCTTTCGAGCGCCGATGCGTTAATGCATCATTAGATAACGGCTAATATTCGATCGGAAAATTCACTCGGCGGAAAAGGTCCATCAACATCTTGAAAATTCACCCCAAAATTATATCGGAGTTTCCTAAACTTCATTCGCCTCTAATATTTTTTAGGGTATTCCAGATCAATCATTCGGGAGATGAATGAAAATCCAAAAACAAGAAAAAAAATAGATGAACATAGACCCAAAAATGCATTGATTTCGAGTTATCGCCATTTTATTGAAATTTAAAATTGCTTTACTTTCAAATTTTTTTGTGAAGAAAGAGATGATCTTTATGAGTTTTGTAACACAAATTAAAGTTAAATAAAAATTGCGGGTTGCTTCAGTACTACTCAGGATGCACAATTGTGGAATCCTGATTTCTGCCAAAAGATGCTAAGGGGGATGTATCTCCACGTGGTACATTCTGTATAATGTTAAAATAGTCCGGATCTATGTTGATATCAATTAATTTTCTTGTTTTTATCATCTGTATAGATTCTATAAAGATCAATCATTATGGTGACATCTCTTTCGATCGAAGACTTCGGCCTTCGTACTACCTTAGGCGTGTAAAATAAATTTTTATTTTTTCCTCACTAAATTATATCTAATAAATATGATTGCAACTAAGCTATCGGCTTATCTAGCAATTTCTCTTGCGTAACATAGGATATCTTAACTAAACGATATTATTACAAAGATCCTTCCGATGAAGAGAGTGAATGTGATAAGTACAGGCTAGCTTGTTTGCTTTTCTGGCATAAATCTAGAGGCATCCTTCTTTTTAATCGACGCGATTCGTTTGTCCTATCAAGGACTCGGAGCATTTTGGAGTTTACATGTAACTGCAGTCTGAGTTTGTGCTTCATGGCATTCTTCCTGATTTCTTCACTTGACTCTTTCCATCCTCAGGTGTAAAATAAATAAAGAAGAAATTTGCATTTAAAGATGCATCATTTCAAAAAATTCCATTTGGTTATTTTCAAATTTACCATTTCAATTTTTCGAATCACTAACCGAATTAAAAACGAAGGAGAAGCGGAAACGCCGTCTCATCGGCTTGTCAAATCCCGCAATCACAGAGTGATACCAGAAAAAAGTCACGTGTTAGACGAGTCGACTTCGGACTCCGGGTGAAGATCATTGGTACTGGCCGCCCATCGGTTACGGCCTCTTAGAGGGGGCAAGCAAATCTAATTTTTGTCCATTTCATTTTGTGTATAGATAACACTTACGGCCTCTCAGCTTTACGGCCTGGCGCGAGCGCCGGCAGGTCGGCGTCAAAGTAAATCACCGTGTGGCCTCGCAAGGTCACGACCCGCCAGGCAAGCCTTACTCGGAAAGTTTGTAGACTCGCGTGCGAATGCTACAGTTGGCAAAGATAATATGATTCCCACTTGTACGCGCGCGTTCTTGCACGTTCATTGCCGAGGACGAGGAAATAGAGGACCGGGCAATGACTTGGAGTACTCACATACCTTTTTGGATACCAGATATTATCCGAGATTTCAAGAACACAGGACTTGTATCTAAAGTAAAAATGAGATGACCAATTCGAATACACGAGTATGCGGATTAAATTTCACGCTATCTTTACTTGTTTAACTTGTATCAAAAGAACTTATTAGTAATACCTCGAATAAAAATTAAGGAAGAATTTTCTTGAAATGAATATCCGATTCAACGTTAAAACCGATTTGTATCTAATCTCCCTAGCGATATATTTGAGATTTTCGTGCAGAATGTTTGTAAGCTATTAATTTACGCGCGATATAAATCACGTCGGGAAGTACGTACGCGATATACCTCGAGAAACCATATATTCTACCAATTACCGTTAAAAGCATAAATGGAAGCGGAAATATTATTGGGATAGAATTTCCAACGCGAATGTCTACCGCGATCTCTCGCGGGCTCGCTGCTTGGGAATCTCGTAGCTCCGAAGAATTTCTACCACCGCCCACGCGCACCTCCGTTTCCATCGTCGTAAACAATGCACGTGGTGCTAAGTGTACCGCACCAGTTAACGGCAAGACCGACGAGACGCGGTAGCCAGGAATTTTCTCTTTTGTGACCACCGCCTCGCATTTTGCGGGACCCGCTCTGACAAATCCAACGCATTTGGAGCCGGCTAAGTCGTCTAACAGAATTTACGTCTGCTTCGTAGCTCCGCTTGCACGGCAAGCTAGACGTCGTTTTCCGCTCACTCGTGTTCTTCTCGGTTTGTCGGTTAGTCGTGTACTCGACCGATTTTTTTACGATATACGCGACTTGTATCGTGCGCGAGGGGGAAAAACAGGCAGCTTCCAACAGCCTTCCGCGCGATTTCACTGATATCGGATCCCCATTTGGGAACGGGGCTTACAGGTCGCGGTTGCCGTGTACATGGAAAATGTTCCGTGGGCAAAGCGGAATATCGATTAGCATTAATTGAAAATTCGGCCTCGCCGAAAGTAAAAATGATACTCGAGTGGGAATGGAAAAAAGCGTAAAAAAGAATAATCTATATAGTAGATAAACGTATATTTTTAACGGAATGAGAAACAAGCTGGTATAGATAAAAAGATGGAGTATACAAATACAATGATGTAAATTTTGCTCGCAATTCCTGAAGCGTTATTCGTATGACGACATATTATTGGTAACATTTCGTTGCGACGCGGGATAATAAAGCTTTGCGCATGCAAAGCGTATAAAGGAATGTCAATAAAGAATCGCGTTGCTAGAAATAATAAGTAGCTCCTCGGGATACCGTCGTGAGCGACTCGAGCTTTTGTTTCGTAAATACTGTCGGAAATATCAAAAGATACATCGAGTATATACATACATCTTAAGTTGCAGATTTGCTTTCAAACATTGTATCTTCCTAAGGAAATTTGAACGTGCGTCAAATTAATCATAAAAGCAAGAAATGTATGCGCTGTTAACAGATTCGGAGTATCAGTGATGTTTTTTTTTAAAGATCTACATGGGTCTTTGATGAAAGAAAAAATCAAATTGACTTTGTCAAATTTGAAGTAGATTTCCTCTGGTTTCGAAATAGAATAAATCATAATAAATCTCTTAATCACAGTTTAATTATACGCAGTTTATAATAATTATATTAATGTACAATCTTATCGTTTATTTATCTGCACTGAAAAAAAGTATGATGTAAGTATGATGTAAAATGTAAAAAAGCATGATATGAAAAATGTGAGGAAACATACATATTCATTGAAACGATTTGAACTGTCTGTGAAGTTTTATGCGATGTAAAAGTCAACGATAGAAGTCAATTGAATTGAGAAAAAAAAAAAAAAAAAAATACGGAAATACATTCACACGAAATTACATTCATTTAAAAAGATTTACTCAAATTATTCTCATTTTCAATATCATTTGCCAATGTATTTTTATTTCTGATGACAATCGATGACATTTCAATTTATTTTATGAGCATTTCAACTTTTTTTATAAGTCTCGAAATCTAGGTCTCGGACTTCTTTCCTTGCACACTTTGAAGAATAATAAAAATTTATTAGAAACAATGCATCATTGATTGCTACTTATATCTTTACATAATTATTCGGATAATCTTCTACCTTGATGCCGCTGCGACCTTGTTGCTTGAGCAACACATTCTCCGGCTTCATGTCGCAGTGTATGATCTTATTCTTGTAGAGCGCCTCCAAACAAAGCAGCAGCGAGTGCGAGAACTTGCGCACGAGCTGCAGACTAAAGCCCTTGAAGTTGTTCTTCTTGATGAGCTCGTATAAATTGATGCTGAGCAACTCGAAGGTGATGCACATGTGGCAGCGGAAGGTGAACGAGTCGAACATATGGATGATGTTCATGGTGTTGTCTTTATCTTGCTCGCGTAGCTTGCGCAGTATACGTATCTCCTCGTGCGCCTGACGGTGGAAGCGCTTCTCGTTCCGCACCATCTTCAACGCCACGTGCTCGTGCGTCTTGTGATCGTAGGCCTTGACCACCTGGCCGAACGAGCCCTTGCCGATGACGCGCAGCACCTCGTACCGATACGCCACGTGGTCGTGCGGCACGTGGATATACGAGCCCTGTTCGTTGTCGTACTCGTTGTTGTTCGGCCGGCCGATGATACCCGGCCGTTTCTTCGCGTTCGCGCCGATGAAGTAGATCTGCTGGTAGTTGAAGATCTCGTGATGCTCGTACGGCGTTAGCTTGTTCATGTAAAGCTTCATCACCATCTCCGGCGTGATGGTCGCCGTTTTCGGCTTGACGCTGACGATGCTATTGCTGCCACCGCCGCTTCCACCGCCACCGCTCCCGCCGCCACCTCCATTGTCACTTCCGCCGCCGCCGCCGCCTCCGCCGCCTCCACCACCACCGCCACCTCCACCGCGGCCGCCACCGCCGCCGCTGTTGGAGTTGCCATCGGAACGGCCGTTTCTCACCACCGGGCTGCTGGACTGGCTGTTGGGTTGCGAATGCGAGTTGTGGCTAGAGTTGTGACTCACCGGCCAGTTACTCAGGCTGAAGCTCTCGCCTTTCCATGGTAGTCTCTGGTAACCCACGTAAGATACCGATTCATCGCCACCGCCGCCACCTCCTCCTCCTCCTCCTCCGC